CAGGTGTCTAAGAGTCAGTTACCTCAGGCCACAGATGTCAATCCTCGACACGTCCACTTCAGCCCTGGCTCAAGCTTTGCCAGTTAATAATTACATAATTGGAATAATATCCCATTTAATATTATATTCTTTACTATCTGAAGCAAGTAACAGGCCTTTTGTGATTGGACCAGTTGGGAAAATAGATATGTAAATCATCAATTTCTTTTCCCCATTTAGGTGACAGGTCCCTTCAGCGTGCAAGGAACCCTGGGAAGCAGGAACCTTCCCCTTCCGTATTGGGATGAAACTCTTGAAAAATATCATATCTACATCACAGGAACATCCATTACTTTCACACTGACCAAACCCTGCAGGTAACACCCCCATTCCCACTGCAATGTTTGCCACCGTTTCAGATGATGTAATGTTTGAGACTTCTCTTGCTGACAAGGGCACCAGCGTTACACTTTTATGAATGAATTATGAATAATTGTCATTGAAGATAAATTGATACCAAATTCCAGGTGTGACCCAGAGCCACAGTGAAGCACCGGTAAACTGGGGACCATACAGACAGTGGGCAACCTGAGGAGAATTCGTCTCAACGCTGACAAGCAGACAGGAACCTGGCAGATAAACATAAAGTCCAACCAACCATACACACTTAAAGTCACAGGTCAGAAATTGTTGAAATTGTGTCTTCTTGTGTATACCAGTACATTTATAATATTCACAGATTTAATCAAAAGTTGCTTCTTGTCGAGCGAGAATAGAAAACAGGAAAGGAAAGAACTACTCAGTAATCTATCCAGTAAATATAATGCTAACAACTAGGCAGCTTTGCTTAGCATAAAGACTGGTGGGCTGATTTTCTTACCATTAGAGAGAACAAGGCTAGCTGCCCCCGCCACCCGCTTTCCGGTCTTTTGTGCTATTGCTAAGCTAAGCTGCTAAAATTGTTTCATATTACTGCAAACACATGGGAGAGTGGCATTGATCTTCTGTAACTTTAGGCAAGAAAGCAAATTAATTTCCAAAATGATTTATTCTGAGCCAGTACTCACACTGACCCCTGTTAAGTTTGTAACTGCTTTTTAATCACTATCATATTTCATGTTTATGTTTGGTTTCATGCAAACCATGTCAATTAAGTCTGCATCTATTGTCAAAATAATTTGACACAAATTATTACACAGCTGTTGAACAAAACGTAATTCTGTCAGGAGAGCCTCATGAAAGTTCATAAAGTTCTTTCTTGGTGTGTATCTGTATTTACTCTAAGTCTGTGGCTGTGTTCCAGGCCAAGAGTATCATTACCTTTATCTACAACTTTGTGAAAGCTTCGGAGGACCTCACCCAGGTTATGCAATACTCAGTGGGCGTCCACAACAAGGTACAGTACATGCAACAAAGCAATCTTAGAAATCTGTTTTTACTATGTTAGCACCTCGTAAATGTGAAATCATCATTCATCAATGTGAAAGTCCTATTACGTCAACCTTCTATAGGACCTCTGGGATATTTGCTATCAGGATTTATATATTATAATATAATTACAATATTTCTAAGCCATCCAAATGATTGTATTGCGAGTTATCGTGTGAGGCGTTGCCATTAAAAAAAGTTACTAGTCACAGTGTAGGTTAGAAAATAATTAAGTCACCAAAGCTAAGTGCTTCTGCAAATGTTGGAGGAAACCAAGAAAAGGTAGAACAAAGACTTTCCTCCATGAAAATGAATTTTCTTCCTATTCGTCCCCCTACTTTGCTTTCTTTGTCCTCTCTTCTTGGAAACCAGCCAGCCAGCCACCCTGATGCTCCAGTAATGGGTAGGAAAGGTCCGTCCTCGCTGGCTATTGGAGAGCATTGGTCTGGTAACTGTATCTGGTCCTGAGACTAATAGCAATAGCACAACAAGTGACATGGGCCAACGGAGACATCTTGGTGACTGTTGATGAAGTCCCTGGGGGAGAGTTTGTGGTCATTCTGAGAGGAACTGACAAACGTGTCAACAACAGAATTTCAGAGGCAGTCTACCACTCAGATGTCCGTCTCCAAAGTGAATATTCAGGTCAGTCTCTCTACTTCCTCTTCACATCCTCTGTACCCATTCAGTTTTGTTTGATTTAAAGTAAGATCAGAGAATGTTGACACTTTTGCAGAGTGCTTTGAACTTTCTAGCAGTGCAAGAACAATATTACTGTTCGTCACTTGTTTCGTTCCTTTCTTCTCTTCCATTTCCCTCTAGGCTGTGGTGGACAGCAGTGTGGAGCCAGGGAAAGCCTTCCAGCTTCCCTTCAGTGTCATGACCCAAGGCTCTGGTGGTAAATACTCCATTGGCGCCAGAAATGACAGAAACTTCCTCATGTCCTTCCCAAACAGGTGAGGAGAAACACCTAAAACATTTCTTTTATTAAATATCCTTTAGTGGTCCAGTACATGAAGAGCAACATCCCTGCAAGCCTGGACCCTGACCAGTTTGCACAACCCACAAATCCACTTCCACTACCCTCCACTTAGCCTTAACACACCTTGGGAAAAACACAGAACAACTGGTGCACAGAAAACACCATACAATCATGAAGCTGATTGTTGATTTTAGGAAAAAGGAGGCAAAGACACACACCACTGTTTACATCAGTGGAACTGTGCTGACCAGAGAACCATCATGGTCATCTCACATCTCACCCTGGTTAAGAAAGCACAGAAGTGGATGTAATGTGTTTCCCAGTCCTTGTTAACTTTTAGGGGATTCATCCAACATTCACACCCACTTTTCTCTCACACCTTGATTGGCCAGTTGTGGGGAGGTGTGAAAGTTAGCTCGGTTTGAACTTTGAGCTTTATTTTTCGTTTGTTACACAACCACTTTTGTCTCTTTTCATGTGGACAACATAATGAATACTGTCTGGAAATGTTATTTCCACAATTAAACTATTTAACATCTCCCCTGGAAATTATCTGCAAACATTGATGGGTGGAAAATGAACAGAGAAAAACTCAGTTTTATAATTTTCCAACAAACAAAGGAATGAAATCCAATTGGTTCTCTGCCCAAAGTTCGGCCAATTGCCAGAAGCCATGTAGAAAACATGATCTGTTTATACGCTGACGTAATCTGAACTAATGTACAATATCAAATGTGGAGCTTCCTTGCCAAGGAGCTCACAGAACATCAGGTTATACTTAACATGTTTTTCAGTCTTCAACAACAACCTCAGATCAGACAGCACCGCATAATAGTTAATACATGATAAAAGTAATGCTTTCTGCTAACATGGTTCATAATTCCTGCTTAGCATCAGCATGTTAGCACTGTCACTTTGAGCATGCTGACATTAGCATTTCACTCAAGGCATTGCTGTGCCCTGTACTCGTAATATTTCAATCAAAAGGAAATGCATGGATTCTTCACAATAACAGTTCTTATAATCACAAAATGTATTTTTCTCTCTTCTCTTGACAGCCTCACCTTGACAGCTGGACAATATGCTAATGCTACTTTAACCATTACGCCACCTGCCAACACGCCATCAGGCACTGATGTCACTCTGACGATAGAAGCCAAGTCGTCCAGTGGTGCTGACTCCAATTACATCGTTTTGAGATTTTCGGTTGTTACCAAGGTAACAAGACACATCCTGGATTACAGTTGGAAAGAGTGAACTAAATAAGTACAGAAAACATAAAAATAGCATAGCTGTAACACAGCCACAAATGTAGCTATTACAGATCAAATTTAAATATAGATGTAAACGACCCCGTTACTGCTGTGATTCATGAATACATGTCACCCTTTTTTTTTCCTGTTCTCTGTCCAGATTACAGATTTTGTTCAGCCTTTGTGTGAAGTGGTTAGTGTGCTGGCTAATGATTGCCCTCAAGATGTGTCTCAGTGTGGACCTTTCCGATGGGAGCTCTCGGCCAACCTTACTGATGGAAACGGCACTGGAATAGAGACTATTTCCCTGCGTCAGGGCAATGGAACCCTCTTACACAGCTCCTTGAGTAATCCTGTTGTTCGGGCAAACTACACATCCTCCTGCTGCTCGCAGATTGTTGAGTTTATAGCTGTAGATAAAGTTGGCAATGTGGGCAAGTGCTATCATTCCATTGTACGTTCTGCTGGCCCTCCTGCTTTAACCCTGTCGCTGCCACTGTGGTTGTGCCTGCTGGTATCTGCCTTTGTAGCAAGGGGTTGAAGGCCTTAGGCTAGGTTTCTTAGATATCCTGCTTAAATAAAATGTGAGCAGTGATGTGTACAAAGTTGCTAGAAATGAAATATTTCTGATTAAAAAAAAAAAAACAGTCAGCATGCATGGTTGGATATTTAATCTAATAACAGCTGTATGAAAAGTCTAAGTTGCGGTTTTAATTAAAGATTTCAAGCATTGGAATAAATGCTTGTAGCCTACTTGTGTCATATCCTGAAAAACAAACCAACAAATTCATGTTTTCTGACCAAAAAGTGTAAAGTAGAGGGTTCGTTTGACAACTTTACATTTATTACCTGTTTTCTCAAATGACAGGACCAAAAAAAATATACATCTTGATTTGACAGCAATCAAATCAATGTAAATTCAGAATATGTACAATTTCTTATAGGAGGTTTAGAATTGTAAAAGATGTCATCAAACACTTGTTCAAATGTACTTAGAACTTGGAAATGGAAAACACACTTCACGTCTTTCAGCAGAAAATGAGGATTTACCAAAGCAATGACAAAATTTAAACTGTGGTTTGTGATACAGTACAATGTGAGACACAATGATAATAATAAAAGGTTGACCTTCAGAGTTTTAACAATGCAGACATGAACAGTTGTGGAACGGCGTGTTAAATAAAGCAAATATGTGTCTGCTAAAACTGAAATTATATCAACTCTCGTAAAAAGAGTTGCACTTATAATGAGCTACATGATGACTGTAAGGTTACATTCATCTGCTTTTTCGGGGATTAGAAACAGACGGCAGAAGTATTCCAATGGTCAAAATCTTACAAGTTGAAAATCTGTTTCATGTCCAGTGTGAATGCACCGTTATAATCCTTGTTTGAGGAGATAAATAATTGCACAAGCAGTATCATTAACCCTTATTGCCATTTTTGTAACAGCAGTGAAAAGCAATGAAATATAAATAATGTTCCAAAACCACACTGTAACAGCTGTCAACATGTTTGCTTTTAAATTATGTCTTGTGAAAGCAGTGACAATAATATAGATTTTTCAAATGATGTCACAACACCAAGGGATTTTAACATATCTGCTGATATTCTAAAATTGTGCGGTATTTGTGACAAATCGTTAAAAACGTTACAGTTCTACGATGCAGATGCTTACACTTAAGTCAAACAGAGGTTTCATGCACATCATAAAGGCTACTTGAGGTTGGTGTCAGAATATCCTTAGCACAACATCTTGTGGCTCTGTAATATAACTTGTTTGAATAAACAAACAGTAGGTTTTAATTGCAAGAAACACCTTGTATTAAGAATGTAAAGAGGAAAATGCTCATTTCCAATATGTATCATCACTCTCATAGCTGTGCGTTAAATTCGAAACTGACTACTGGAGATGACTAGTTTAGCTTAGCAAAAAGACTGGGAGCACAGCAAAACAGCTAGCCTGACTCTAGTCAAGGCTCAAAGATAGTTACAAGAAACTCTAAAAGGTCTTCAACTGACCAGTATGTAGAATTCAGTGGCATCTAGTGGTGAAGTTAGAGATTGCAACAATTTGAATACAGCTCGGCCTTCCAAGCGTGTAGGAGAAACTACAGCGGCCGCAAAACTAGCAAGGTCCATTCTGTGCTACAGTAGAAACATGGCAGGTTAACATGATGACTCCGTAGAAGAGGACCAACTCCCTCTGCAGATAAAAACAACACACAACCATTCTTATATTTAGCTGATTATACACTAATGAAAACAAACCTATGAATATTATATTCCAAATATGCCAATTAAGACTAGGTACTGAAGTCAGTACCGTTCCATTACCATTTCATGTTAAATCAATCAGTGCTGCCTTTCGGTACCTTAGAATCTGGGAAAGTTGGAGAGTAAGTTGGAGTATAGAAAGAAAGAGTAATGTTGCGTCGCCCCTGCAGCTTGTTCAATTCACAGTGAGTCAGGGCATGCATACTTGATAATACAAACAACAAGGCTTGCTACAGCAGCACATCCAAGCTGTGACTAGTGTAATGTGTGTGATAGCCTGAAGTCCAGGTCCCCTGACGCAGCTATCATTAGCATGCCTGCAGCCAGCGCCGCAGGTAAACCCTCCATAAATGGCGTCAGGCATTGACAACTTCATTGACATCTTCTAGATAGCTGGACAAGCTGTTGGAGATAACTGGGCTTTGGTTGATATTAGCTTAGCATTATTAGCCACAGGATTGTTTTTTGGATTTTTTTACAACTTAAATTACATTTGAGAAAGAAGAAAGAGTAAAGTACCAAAAAAGTACAGAATTCCAGGTTCAAATGTGAATGGTACCCAACCCTAATGTCAATATATCCTCCTAAATGTTACATACTAAACCTTTATAATTATCACATAGTATCTAATTGGTTTATTTTCTTATGGTTTTAATCCAAACTTTAGTTTCATCTTTTAATCTTTACAATAAGATAATTGCCTCTTTGCTCCAGCTCCATACGTAACACACAGACATGACATTGATATTTATTTGTATTAGCTACAATTACAGCTAGGCAGTACAATTGATTAATTCGAATGTGTGTTTTCAAACAAAGCAAAAACAGGCTGAATCGTAAAATCGAGATATTAAGTATCAATATTAGAATGAGGGGATATATAGCTGCTAAGGCTGTAAAACAAGCCCCATTACACTCAAGTCTCATCTACACAGAATATGTAGAATAATTTCCCCATAGTATCCCATATGAGAGGAGGCCCCAGTAGGAATGTAAAGATATATTGAGAGACAGATAAATTGTGACACAAATATGTAAAGATTCAGATCAGTGAGATAAACAATGAATTGTGATACCCTTTTGAAAACAGCAGAGGGCACTATCAACTTTTGACTTTGTTATACGTACTATGTCCCCTGTGTCAGTAGCTGTATCAAATTTACATTATTTTGCAGTTTGCTCCTTACCTAAAAATTAAAACATTCTATAATTATAATAAAGGAAAATATTATATAAATTATATTTTGCCTGAGGAATGTGTTTCAGTAATGAGTTGTCTTCAATCTAATTTTGTTAAAAAAAATGGGGACTTCATATCACAAATGTATCAAGGATTGATGATTAATTGTGATCCTTACATCTAGGCCCCAGTGATAGCATTACAAATACAGTGGTGTTTCAAGTAAACTAAGCTATGGGGTCTTTTGTTCGATTAAACCATAGTCCGATTGTTTGAAAATTAAAAAATAAAAAACAGATTAGGCACAGCTCTATCTACATTGTTGAACTAATAATTCAAGCCTTAATAAAAATACAATGAAAAGAAATCAGTCTCTGTTCAACACAACATAAAAGAGATTGCAATTCTCAATTTGCATTTGCTTTACAGACAGTGCATCAAAGAAAAACCACCCTTACGCACAAAATATCGCCCCCCCAAGACTTTAGATCTCTTTAGATCTCTCATTATAGAAAAACATTACTGTTCCCTTTAGAATAGTTTGGCGCCTTGGATGTCCATCTCTCATTGGATTTTATGTACATTTTTCACATGCTTTTTAAGGTGACCTGACTGTGTGAAGTGCTTGGGGCAGTGTGGGCAAGAATGTGGTTTCTCCCCCGTGTGGATATACTTGTGCCTTTTCAGGTTATTAAAGTCTAAAAATCCCTTTCCGCAGTATGGACACCAGTGTCTCTTCTCCCCATTATGCCATCTTAAATGCACATTTAGCTCTACCCTCCTTGCAAATTTTTTTTCACAAAGGTTGCAATGGAATGGTTTCTCTCCAGTGTGCATTCGTATGTGAGCTTCCACATCTAGTTTTGTGAAGAATCCCTTGTTGCAGATCTGACAGACAAAAGGTTTAATCCTGCGGTGCACCATCTGGAGGTGTTTGGTAAGGCCAAATCGGTAAACAAAGCCCTTCCCGCACTGCTGGCAGACATGGATCCTACCATTGCGGTGCACCCGGCCATGCCGTTTAAGACCTTTGGAATCTGGGAAGCGCTTCCCGCAGAGCGTGCACGAGAAAGGTCGCCGACCTTTGTGGAGACTAACATGGCTTTCCAGAGCAGCACTGCTGCTAAGGACGCGACCACACTCCCCACACTGGTTCTTGAGCAGACGCCTACCGATGACTGATAAAGGCTGTAATGGGGATACAACAGGTGGTGCTTTGACAGGTATGGGGTGAAGAGAAACACTGGGGGGGTAAACTACTGTATGACCCTGGGATCTTGTCTCTTTCTTTTCAGGTAAGTGCACTGACTTCTTTCCCCCTCCTGGGGGTGTTTTAGTGGCTGGCATTATAGGTGGAGTCCACACCGCTTTAGTCGTAAATTTTTTTCCAGCCTCACAGCTAGCAAGGTTCTCCGCTAACTGGCTTGTTTTAGCTCCATTATGTAAATGTAACTTCTGAGCATTCACCACATTTAAAGTATTTCTAGGACTGGTAAAATCTTGAAGTAATCTGGGTTTTTTAACAGAAGTGGATTCCCGAGTCTTTCTAGGACTGACATCATCTTTAGATAATGTAGGCCACCTTACACTTGGGGAATCTGTTTCACTCTTTGTGTTTTTCATACTAGCACCATCTGTAGTTATGCTACACCTCCTAGGACTGAAGGAACTGGACTCCCTTTTTATCTGTTTAGTGCTAGAACCATCTTTAGTGAAGGTACACCTCCTACGGCAGACAGAAGTTGATTCATTGGTAGACATTTTAGGGCTAGTGCCATTTTTAGTGGTCCTAGGACTAACAGATGTAGATTTAGTCTTTTGAGGGCTAGCCCCATCTTTACTTGAACTAGTCTTCTTAGTTGTCAGAGGGATGGTTTTAGTATTGTTAGGACTACTACCAATTTTTGGGCTTGGACCATCTTTAGTTGAACATGTCCTCTTAGGACGCACTGAAGTGTTTGTGGTCTTTTTAGGGGTAGCCTTTTGTTTAGTTAAACTAGATCTCCTAGGACTCACAGGAGTGGATTTCATATTTTTGGAACTTACACCATGTCTACCTGAACTAGACCTAGTGGATTCACTAATAGGCTGAGACCTCTGAGAACCGACAGATGATTCACTAACAGGGCTCTTCGGTTTACCACCATCTTTATATAGTCCAGATTTACTTTGACTAATGGGAGTAGGGTCATTAGTTATCCGTTTTAGAGATGTAACATCTTCAACTGCTCCTGGGTTTTTTGGACTGGCAATAGGTTTAATAGTTGTGTTTTTATCATTTGAATAGTCATTTTCTAATCTAGGTTTCTTAGGGCTTACAGTGCAGGTTTCTGTTACTGTGTGTGCTTCTGGATTTGTTTCAGTTCTTCTAGATTGAAAATGGGTTTTGATGTGACTTCGGAGTTGGGCCATAAGGGAGTTTTTCTGTAATTTTTTCTTGTCACTGGTGTTGGTCTCTGCACAAGAAGCGCTGTCATCTACAGAGTCATTAGAGGAGGCCTAAAACAAAAACGAAAGAAGAAAAATAAACTGAAAAATACATGCAGATCAATCACAAAAAATAATCTCAACTATGAAAAAAAAGTCATGTGCGCATGATGACCATAAATACAATTTACAAAGCATAACTACCTAGATGATCTACAAATGTGATTTTGAAATTCCAGAATCAATTCAATATAACTTAAAACGGTGGTAAACCTAGCTTCTGGGGTGTGCACTCCTATCACAAAAGGGAGGAAAAAAAACGCCATTGACTGTTGATTATTCTTCCGTCAAGTACTCACTTCAGACTGCCAGAAAAAATTAATAACCAGTGCAAATATTATTTTATACCCACAGTAATCACATTGCTAAACAGACTGAGAAGTGTTTACTACATAATTACCTTTGTTGAGTCTTGTTCCACAGGTGACACTGCCAGCTGTGCCAGGAACTGGGCTTTAGTCATCTGTGAATGAGGGTCAGCTGTATCCTTGGATATGAGGGAGGTTAGATGTATAAGGGCAGCTGATTTTTTCTCTTCTATAGGTTGGTCATTTGATACCCCACAATCTTGCACAGCAATTCTGATCATTTCCTCATCCAGATCAGAAGTAGGTTCAACAGCTGTGCCAGATACAGCTGAAGGCTCCATTGTGGTGATGGTAAACGTTGATTTCTCAAAGACTGGCTGTGACATCTTGAATGGTGTAGATGGCTGCACATGTCCGCTGTAAGGTGACTGTTCCTGAGTGGTGCAGTTTTCAAAGGATAATGATGCCTTCTTTTGAATACTATTTGGCTCTTCTGACATCTGAGAGGTATGAACAGGTACAGCATCAGAAGTTTCTTTTAAACTTGGGCAAATGTCTGTGGATAACGCAAGTGTCTGTGATGTCTGTGATGATATGCCAACAGATGACAATTCCTCTTTTGTGGAAGCTTCTTTCAAAATGAACTGAGGGTCAGAATATCCATTTGTTTCCAGTCTTGAAACCAAGACTGATTCTTTGGTCGACACTGTAAATGGGAGCCTAGTTAATCGGACAACAGCAGAGAGTTTGTGCTCAGAAGTTGGTGGTACTGCTGGGGACATGGAAGTTGGCAGCAGCTCATCTGACATATTTAAACTGGAACAGGTTACTGTATGAGGATTTATTATTTCAGAAATATCCGATGTATTATGCCTCTTTTGAGACGATATTGTGGCCACTGCATCTAAAACAGTTTGTGTATTGACAGAAACTTTTAACTCCTGTGACAAAGACACCGTGCCAAGAGCAGCTGATTTGGTTGACTCCTGATTTGGTGTCAGAACAATGGTCTGTGACTGAGGTTTCCTTGATGCTACTGCTGTCGACTGTGAAGTGTCAACAGGAAGTGATTTGCTGGAGGTAACATGTATTGTTTTCTGAGGAACAGAGGAAAGGGAAGGTGTTCCAAGAGGTAAGCTTGCAGTTGTAGAGCCTGGAAGACTACTATTATTTTGTGTAGCAACAACTGGCTGGGTTGAAGACTGTTCTGCAATTTTAAAAGACTTTAATGAGGATACTGATCTTGGTACAACAATTATTTTATGAGGTACTGCATTACTCCGTTTAGTTGGTGCTGCTGATGTTGTCAGAGAATGGGTGTGGGGCGGCTGAAGGGACTGCACACTTGTTTGAGTTGCTGCAGTTGATGAGGGCACTGAAGATGTACTAGTATTGGATAGACAGAGCGTAAGGGCCTGAGCTTCGATGGTTGGATTGGCATCTTTAGTCTGAGACGGGTCAACATGTTTCTCTCTTGATTGTGTTTTTGCGGACAGCTCTGTTATGGGTAGCTTGCCTATACCATCATGAGTTTCAGCAGGGAGCGGCAGTGCCTGTGGTTTGACTGGGACCTCTCCCATGTGGGGAGCACACTCAGTTCGGAGTGGTGCTGTCATTTTTTGTGGAGAGGAGAATTTATTTTCTTCTATCGACTGGTTCATGGCTTCAACAAATAGCATTGCATCCTGAAGAGTTACAGAGGTGTGGTGTTCTCTGGGCTCAACTGATGCTTGTGTTGACTTAGCTGGTGTATTAACTGCAGATGGAGCTTGAATTGCCCCCTCTTCCATATTCATGGAACATTGCTGAGATTCAGATGCTACTGAAAGAGCCAGAGAACCAACCTTACTGCTCCTCACATCTTCTAAAGTAGATTTTGCTCTCTCCTGGATTGATGGGGTGATAGTGGATGAAGACTCCTTAGGCTGAACTATACATGTTTGTGGAGACTCGGATAAAGGGATATTAACTGTATCAACTGCAGAAGATACCTCAACCTCTTCCACTCTTACTGCAGGGGACTTTTTCACTTCTTGGTCTGTTGTAATATCAGAAGATGGTGACTGAAGCATTTCTTTAACTAGTTGATATTTTTCTGTCTTCGGTGGACGTCCTCTTCTACGTCGTACTGACATACTGAAGACAGGTTTGGAACAAGGCTCAACTTCTGACACGCCCTTTTTCAATTCATCACATTCTTCTCCTTCGTTGACTGATGTGGGTTGTGCCAACTGGTCCTGTGTATCTTGTACATCTGCATATTGTTTTAGAGAAATATCAGTTTGTTTATTTACTGATGTTTCACCCTCTTTTTGACATTGTTTGGGGACCAATAATGGTGGTTCAACCTCTGATTGATACTGAGCAACCAACAGCTGGTGTTTTTCAGATGTTCTGAGTTCTCCCTGTGTACCAATTTCTGATATCTTCTGACCGACTTCTTCTTCTAGGTCATCTTTTATTGCAGCGAGTGAGATGACAAATGTATGCCCTAGTTCAGATGACTGGTTCTGGCCTCCTTGTAAACCACTACACATTCCCAAAATTGGTAGTTCCAGGGCCATGCGGGTCTCTTCAAGTCTTTGAGGCACGGCTATCTCTCGAGTTGAACAGACCTTGTCAATGAAAGGGCCTTCATTTTCAGTTCCACGAGGAGAGGCCCATGGTGAATCTAAGTGATAGAGACATCATAGAGAAACATAAGAAGAAAAAAAGGGGATACTTGTGAGATGTTAACCTAGCAAAATGTTGTAGGCTTTGTTAAATATTACAAATGATCAAACTTTAGTCCGTTTCCTCACCTGCTTTATCACTTATGACATGCCCACAGACCACAGTGGACTCAACTTCCTCTTGCTTCAAGACAGACTGCAGAGGAGAATCATCATAAGAGTTATGCAGAGGCATCACAAAACTTTACATTTTGAGAAGACATGAATGGGAAAAGAAATTTGTTTGTTGCCAACATGCACACACCTCCTGCTTGACAAGTATAAATGTCATTTGAGAATTCCTTTCTCCATGGGTCTCATAGTTGTGGTCCTGCAAAGCGTACTCCATCTCCTCATAACCACATTGTTGCGCTCGGTTTTGTAATGATGATTCCCTCAGTGGTGGACATTGCTCAACCAGCATCATGCGGAGAGGAACAAGATCTGTTAACAAAAACAAACAGAATTTAAGAAAAAGGGGGGTATTAATGGCGAGCCGCCATTGTTTTCTGCTCCGGACGAGTCTTGCTCAGCCAATGAGAGCAGCTCAACTCGCAGTACATCACCTCCTTTGGCTCAATTTTTTCAACAGAAAAAAATGTAAGGGTGACAGATTAACACTGAGTGCAATCTACTGTGATATTAAGTCATTCACATGAAGACCACCTGTAGTAGACCACAATGTTCAACTCGCGGCCAGTGTTCATTTTAATTAGCTATTGTCTAGTAGTCTTGTCTTTGATTGCATTGGTAGGCTTTATTGCAGCATAGCATCACAAAATGCTGCAGGAGATTGGCATCTGAGGTTTCTTTAGGAAGCCCAGTAATTGTAATGTGGTTGATAAGGAAGGAGGGGAAAAAGAGGGATTGATGTAGTGGAGGATGAAAGTCAAGGAAGTAATACTGATCAAATGAAACATGCTCGAACACCCTTTCTGCATGCGTGATCATCAGTTGCACCAAAATGTTCTTTTCTGATACACTCATCTCAGTTTCTTTAAGCACTGATAAAAGAACCAATCTGAGAAACACTCAAGCTTTAAATTATTTGCACAAGCGCTGCCCCCAATAGTTGACTTAATGGTTAACTGCTGAGAAGAGTCTTTGTAACTGGGAAAATTGCATTTTCACACGTTTTCACAGAAAAACACTGAAACACAGGAGAGGCATAAAACAAAAAGGAAGAGGAATAGGTTTGTAGCAATTTAATTTGTAAATAACTGTTATGTATGTAATGTTATAGATTACCATTATTATTTGTTTTTGTGACGTTGGAAGTTATTTATTCATTCTCATTGTCTCCTCGCTGGTTGCTCTGACACATTCAGATTTATTATCGCTTTTTCTGCCATTCAATAGGCAGCTGTTAAAATCTATTTTTTAAAATAACTTAATACCATAAACCTGCTACGACTAGTTGACTGTTTTATTTAAAGACTACTAGTGGACTAGGAAAGTCTTTAGTCGGGGACAGCCCTAATTTGCATCATTTTCACTTGCATCAGTGCTCACACTGTCAAGCCCAGACACCATACGGTTGGCTAGCTCCCTCTCTTCATTCTTAAAAAAGGACATTTACATGAAAGGTACTGTTATAGACCTATGTAAAGAGCATTGATGTATTTTGTGGGCTGAGCTTTACTGGTGGCAGAAAGAAACAGTTCTGCAGTAAATAGCTGTGTCAAGTGCAGTGTACACCATCATAGGCATCTGCCAAAACAGTGACATGACACAATACTGAATGATGTAAAACAGTGGTGCCCATTACGTCGATCGCGATCTACCGGTCGGAAACGTAGTGTG